GCATCGGCTACTGCCAAAGGTGAAAACTGTTTCACGTGAAACTGGACGTATGGTCAGGGCCTTTAGGCACGCTGGGAACTTTTGCCGCCTGGTTAGTAACGCACCGCGTTTTTTGAGTGAGAGAAGTAGGAAGGCAGGAATGAAGTAAAGTGTATTCAAAGACGTAGTACGTAGGTTTTTTCCTCAATCGGAGTGGCGTATGAGTAGAAGGGTTGAGAATCTTTGAGATCATTGATGGTGTGAAATCAAAGAGTGTTGGGGAGGAGATGTTTGATGCCATGATATTGAAACTCACGGCATCTTCTTATTATTATGTATCCATTCTTGTGTTATTGATGATATATTTCGTGGGTTGGGCAGTACTACGCAGGGCAGACATAGCATGTGGATGGGGTGGCAGCATGCGGGCTGGACAGTACAGTATGGGGTAGGTGGGTGGCAAGGTCTGGGTGCCACAGACGACTAAATTTAAAAGGAAGTGTTTATGGCTTGCTACATGGGACCGGTCCAAGTATGCGGACTGTGTGCTACGATTGGCCCGCGACCATAAATGCTGCCAGATGCATTGAAGACAGAGCCAGTGTGTGTGCACCCAGGTGTGAGGTCCCACTACCAAAGAGGATTGGATTGAATGCCTGAATCTGAACGTAAGAGTGCGAGACCTGCGTAAAGAATGTCCAGATTCAGGCCTTCAATCCAATCCTCTTTGCCCGTGGGACCTTGCCCAATATTTTCAAATTTTGATGCATCCTGCAGTCACTTCCATAAATAGGTGCAGGAAAAACGAAAACAAAAACATGCAGAGCAATTTCACAATGGTTCTATCGTCAATGTATCTGACCGCAGGTACGGCCCGGCCTGGATGCATCGGACCACAATAAATTCCTTTTTTTTTCTGTAAGTCTAACTTTTTAATCCCCCAAATCTCTTCCACAAGCACGTGCAGGCGTACTCGAACTGGCTGTGCCCTCAGTGTGTCTGACCGCATCTAGGGCAGACTGCATCGCCTCCATAAA